ACAGCCCCCAACCCAATCCCCCTCTCCCAGAGGCAGGCACTGCCCCCCTGCTTTACCAATCCCCCTCCCCCGCTTTACCTAATTCTTGGGTCCCGGAGCCTCCGCTATAGCCAAGCGTCTCCCTCTGGGTGCGTGTGCTGAGCAGCTGGCATGCCATGTGCCCCCCCCAACCTAATCTCCCTTCCCTTCTCCAGAGCCACATACCTCCCCTCCCCCACTAACCTTATGCCCAGGTTCCAGAGCTGCCAGTAGCACCACCGCCACACCCGGAGCCCCTGCCGCTGCTTGTGCTCAGCAGCCAGTTGCTAGCACATGCATGCTGGAACGCTGAGTACAATCTGGCCTGCACATGAAGGATATGACGCAGTGCGCTGGAGGCCATGAGTGCACATGTGGATCACAGAGACTCGGCTGTGAGAGTAGCTGACCTGAGCGGTTCTGGGTTCCGTCCTGGTTCCGTCGGGAGCCGCAATTTTTTGGCCACCCCTGCTTTATTGCTTCCTTATACCAACCTCGCACAAGCTGTACAAGTCCATCTGGGATCCCAGATAAGCATGCACACTGCATGGTGAATCCCTGCTACTTTAAGCACGCTAGCTACATGAAAGCTAGCACTGGTATGCCTACGAGAGGTAAAAATCACACCTCTTTCACTGTCCACACAGCCTGAGTGTAACATTTTCAAAATATGCTGAAGTTCTATTTCCAAAAATGTACCATAGGGGTTTCTAAAGTGGGACTTAAAACACTTATGAAAATTCTACCCTCCATTCCTCACTGCACACCACATTCGGCTGCCCTTGGGCAGGCTGAGTGGAAACTTATTCCATGTAAGGATGTTAAAATGTGATTATCTGGCTAATCGTATAGTCGATACAATTTCTATCGACTATACAGCTAGTCGATAAGCGCCTCTGCAGAGCCGCAGTGGGGTAGCTCCAGGAGGTGACCGAGCAGTTCTGGCTTGTGCCGGCTTCGGAGACACCTGCGCTGTAGCGCTGCATTTTAAATGTAGAAAGAGCTGCTGGGCCCTTACAACATTTAAAATGTAGAGGTGCAGCAATCAGTGCAAGAGGGACTGCTCGGTCCCGGCTCACTCTCAGTCCAGCACCCCCTGTTCACAATGGACAGCCCTGGCCACCGTGAACAGAGACTGCCTCAGCATCAGTTCATGGCAGTGCCTGCTATGAACAAGGGTTGCTTGATGGCAACAGCCCCTGTTTACGGGGGGCCCAGCTTCCTGCTGGGACCCCTGCATATAGGGGCTGCTTTGCAGCAGCATCCCCTATTACCCGCCCCCCACACCCTCCCACACACACATCCTCTAACAGCAGGGGAGGGGGAGAAGGCAGGTGCCTCCCTGGAGAAGATACTAGGGGGGAACCAGCTTTTAAGCCAGCTCTTCACAGACACAGGCTCCTGTCCCTCTGCTTGCTGTTTCTCATAGAGGCAGGAAAGGGGGATGCCACAGAAAGAACGGTTAGTGTGAGGAACTGCTTGAGTCCCTGCTTGCTCCCTGCGGCACTTCTGCTTTTGAAATATACAAGAGCCACCCCCTGGTAGCTCTCAGTGGGAACAGGCACAAACGGGGACTGAAGCAGTCATTGCTCGCGCCATTTCCCACCGTGTCTCTGCCTCCCTTGTCCCCTGCAGAGATGGTGCTGGGGCAACTGGCTTTGCTGGCTACTGCTCCTTCTCCTTGCTGCCTCTCTCTGATAAAGGCAGCAGAGGGCAGGAAGTGACTAGTCAAGTCGACTAACCAATAAGCATTTGCTTATTGGATAGTTGACTAGTCACTTATATCCCAAATTCTGTAGTAGTTATCTTACTTCCCATTGACTTCAGTGGGTCTAATTATGGAACATGATTCAACTTTTCCTTTGTATGGGTAGTAGTCTCTCCCCTGAAATTAGACTGGCATTCACAGGAAAGATTTCTATTACATAGCTACACCCCCCTGATTTTGGTCTCGTGTACCTTGGAATCTGCACTTCAAGTATTCTCTGTCACATGCAGTGAAAAAAGGAAGTCAGATCATTTGTACCTTCGCAATAACATCCAGAGTCACTCGGCTCATCATGCTCATTATGTCAAATTCAGTTTCTCCATCTGCTTTTTCCTCTAGCTTTTCCATCAGCTCCTCTGCTTTTTCATTAAAGGTTTCCATCAAACCAATCAGGTAGCTGGACAATTTAAAAAATATTATCGATGGAGAATCTTTGTTCTCGATGACCTCTCGAGGTCCCTTCCAGTCCTATTATTCTATGATTCTATGATTTTTTCCAAATTAAAGAAAACAGTGGCTATATAAGCATGAGAGAATTGGCTAAATTCTCTTTGCCCTACCTCTGTGGACTTCAAATCCTGTTAGAGAGAATAATAACCATCAAACAAATCACTTTCAGAGCAAATGGTTGGATTCAAAGTCCACTGAGGTCAATTGGAAAGACTCTCACTGGATCAGACATGAAATGAAACATAGACTTAGCTTTCCCTCATGCACATGCAAAACTAAACAAAAAACCTATGGACTAAAAAAGATGTTTCTCTGACAGGCTGGAAGCTAATGAGACAAGTGTTATTTGATGTTGGTTTTTAGATACTTGAGTGGTGCTCAGATTTCAAACGGTGCAATCGCTAGCAGTCTGCATAGTGAACTCTGTAAAAACTGCTGCTGAAACTTTTATCATTGAGTTTACACAGATGTAAGTGGGAGAACCTAATTCATCACTATTTGCTGCCTATGCAATTTGATCAATTATGATTGCCATGAGAAAATGCATTACACTTTGGATAAAATGAGAATTATACACTCAATGACCTCAGCCTACTTCTAAATTTAGAGTAAGTGTGTGGCGGAGAGGGGGAGGGGGAAATGTGACACATATTATGACTCTCCGGAAACAATAGGGATCTAATCTCATACAGAGATTTGCCTTACGTTCGGCTGAAAGCTGGATCCATAATTCTCCGTTGCTTGTGCCAGTGATCATGGTTAAGATCAGTTACTAAGCCATTCCCTAGAAATCTAACAAAAAGATGAGGATTAAGGAAAAGAAAACGTTTCTGCTGAGGGATTTGCTATGAAGTTTTCAATTCTTTAAAGCTAGATGTATAGCAGCCTTTCTCTATCTGCCTGAACTCTCATTAGCCTGTGAGGCTTTATAATATGGCAGTATTATAAAATATGTTCTTTTCTGAGGAATCATCAACTTAGTCAAAAACCATTGTTTCACTCATCCCACTGGAGGAGGAAACGACTTTCAAAGACATCTGTATTTGTACAGTACCTAGCACAACTCAACCTTGATCCATAATTGGCAGCTTCTAGACATTGCCACTCACAAAATAATCATCTCAAGTACCACATTATATGTTTCAGTAGATCATATAAGCAGGACAATTTTCCCCTCTATGATTAAAACAGCAGCTGAATGGCCCTATGCAAAATGGGAACGATTCAATAATATAAAGGGCAAACAGTGATTGATTGATTGATTGATTTTTTAAAATAGTCTTTTGCAAACTTTATCTGCTTTGCGTTCAGCTCACAGAAGCCCATTTGTTCTGAGGCTAGGTGCATCCCCATGGGGGAGGGATATGAAAGATAAAGGATTGCCATGCATACTTTCTATTGTTCCACTCGCAGGCGGGAGAACCTTTTTTGGGTCGGGGGCCACAGACCTAATCAATCAATTGGGGGGCACACACAATTGAGAAGCAAAACAAACTAAAAAGCACAACCCTCCTTGATCTGACCCCCAAAGTGAGAAAGAGGGAAAAAACCTCACAGATGTGGCCCCCAACTGAGAAGAAGCAAAAAAAGAAGACACTCTCCTAATTCCCCTCAAGGTCCAGCTCATGGACAAGAGCCAGATTAATTCTTCCAACGGCCTGGGGTTAGTAGATTTTGTTGAGCCCCGCTAGACTCTCGGGTGGGGTAAAAAATGGGGGATTCAGTATGCTGGAGGAGGCTGCCCAGGAGCAGGCTGGAGGTAGGAGTGCAGGGTCTGGGCAGGAGATAGGGTACAGCAGCAAGGTGGGGTGAGGGTATAGGGTCTTGGTGGGAGAGAGAGTGCAGGAGCAGGCTGGGAGTGGGAGGCCGGGTCAGGGAGGGAGTGAGGGAGGGTGCAAGAGTGCGCTGGGAATGTGGGGATGGGGTTTGGAAGGGCAGGAGAGTACAGGTATGGACTGGAGGTGCAAGGTCTAGAAGGGAGGGGAGGGCGAGAGGGAGTAGGGGACTGGAATACCTTCACGGCACAGAGCCTGCATGTCAGATCTGGCCCATGGCTTGCCTTCTTGCCTTGATCGGTCCCATGAGGCTTGGGGTTCCCCATTCCTCCACGCAGAAGGGAGCCAGGACCCGTTCTCAGTCACAGCACTGCCATGTGGCTGGAGAGCCAATGCTGGCTCCCTGCTATGGGGCAGGGAAGAGTCCTGAGTCTTACAATCCAGATCAAGGCAAGCCATGGGCTGGATCTGACCCGCAAGCTGTAGGTTCCCCACTTCTGCACTAGGAAGGTACTTGTTTCTATGTGAGTTTCATCAATATAATGGGTACCTAATGTAACGGGGGCCATATGTCCAATTGTGATTGGAGTTGAGCCATGGAAGCCAATTTAAATCAAATTTAGAACAGATTAAAGTAAATTTATTCCCTTCCTCCCCTCTTATTCATCTGTAATTTATTTTTCAGAGCTGGCCTACCTCATGCCAAACATAGTATAGAGACTGCTATATGTTTTTGGATCCTTCGGGTACTGTGGCATCATCAGGAACTCCTAAAATCAAATCCCCCAGTCAGGAAATTCACAGTGCAATTACTTTCCCAAGTAGACCTTAACAAGTCACTGAAGTATTCAATACTTTCTTTATTTTATTAAAAGTCCTCAGATAAAGGCTCCAGAAATCATACAAACTTGCCCATAATCTGTTAGGAACTCACTTGTCTGCCACCTAGAATGATTTTGGATCACTTGGCTAGCTCATCTGTACACTTTCAGAACTTAAGAATTCTTTGTGGGCCAGAACACCTTTCCTCCAAGGATCTGAAAGTACTTTACAAAAGTTGCTCAAAGCTCACACCACTATTATTACTGTGATTCAGAAGGGAAAACTGAGGCACCCAGCAGTTATTGGACTAATTTCTGAAAGTGTTGAGCACTTCATTGACTGCAGCTTTCATTGACCGTAGGTTCTGTGGGCATTTGCCACTTTGGAAAAAAGATGTCACAATTTATTTAAATCAAAGCTATGGTATAAGTCAAATGTTACAGAATCCTGGCATCCTGACTCCATAATCTTATACCTCAAACACTGCCCAAAACCCATTCATTTTGGAGAAGGAGAGACAGCAGCATAGATGGAGAGGATGATTCACACAGTACCTTTACTCCTTCAGGACTCAGAACGAAGAGCAATACTCTGTGGAAAACATTAACACGCACAATGGGGCCATACTCTTCTGCCCTATAAGAGAAAGGACAGAGAAGAATTATGATGCAAAATAATACATCAATCATGTGTGAAATGAAAACACTCTCAAATGGGGATGTAAGTGGCTAGTTGACTATCCGATAAGCATAAGCTTATCGATTACCTGGATGCGACTAGTCGCTTTCCCCCTCTTGCTCCCTTTATCAGGGTATGTCTACACAGCAAAGTTATTTTAAAATAACAACCGTTATTTT